TCTAAGTTATGTTGGATTGGAAAATCGTTTCACTCCATCTTTTTGTGGATTTTGTAAATCCAGAGTTTTTTTAGAGGCTTGATTTAATGTCATTTCTGAGGGAAACTGGGGAGAGCTCAGACAGCTTGCTGGCCTCTCTCTGCCATCTTTCCAATTAATTTTTAATCAATCTTTCCATTGCCCTTTATTGAATGTAATTTTTATTGCATTATGATCTGAAAAAAGATTTATTTAACATTTTTGCTTTTCTGCATTTGGTTGTGAGGTTTTTATGTCCTAGTACAAAGTCAAGTTTTGGGTAGGTGACATGTATTGCTAAGGAAATTACTTAGATTGTCACATTTATTGTCATATAATAAGTTAAATGGATGAATATTTACAAAAATATAAATTGCTCAGATTAACAGAAGAGGAAATAGAATACTTAAATAACTCCATTTTACACAGAGAAATTGAGTAAGCCATCAATGAATTGCTTAAGAAATAATCCCCAGGTCCAAATGGATTCACAAGCAGCCTCTACCAAACATTGGAAGACCAATTAATCCCAATGCTATATAATCTATTTGGAAAAAGAGGCAAATAAGGAATCCTACCAAATTTGTCATGATTGGGGACAGCTAGGTGGTGCAGTGGACAGAGCACCAGCCCTGAAGTCAGGAGGACCTGAGTTCAAATCCAGCCTCAGACCAAACACTTGATACTTACTAGCTGTGTGACCCTGGGCAACGTACTTAACTCCAACTTCCTAATATATACATATATATATATATGCATATACACACACAAATTCCTCATGATCTAAATATGATTGTGATACCTAAAGCAGATGAGCCAAAACAGAGAAGCAAAACTATAGACCAATTTCTCTGGTGAATATTGGTACAAAAATTTTAAATAAAATACTAGTAAGGCAATCATAGCAATATATTAAAAGAATCATACACTATTTCCAGGTGGGATTTATACCAGGAATGCATTTTTTGGTTCAATAGCAGGATAACTATCAGCATAATTGACCATATCAATAACACAACCTACTAAAAAGTAGTTGAAATAATAATTTTAGCAAAGTTGCAGAATACAAAATAAACCCACAAAATCATCAGCATTTCTATATATTACTAAAAAATCCAGCAGTAAGAGATAGAGAAATTCCATTTAAAATAACTTTAGACAATATAAAATGCTTGGGAGTCAGCCTGCCAAGACAAAGCCAGGAAGTATATGAACCCAATTACAAAACATTTTTCATGCAGATGAGGTCTGATCTAAACAATTGGAAAAAATATTAATTGCTCATGTATGGGTCAAGCCAGTACAATAAAAATGCAATTCTACCTGAATTAATATACTTATTCAGTACCATACCAATCAAACTACCAAAATTATTTTATAGAACTAGGAAAAAGAATAACAAAAATCATCTAGACGAAGAAAAGGTCAAGAATACCAAGTAAATAAACAGGGGGGAAAAAATGTGAAGGAAGGTGGCCCAGCCATGTCAGATATCAATCTGTATTTTAAAGTGGTAATCATCAGAACAATCTGGCAGTGCCTAAGAAATAGAGTAGACTAGGTTAGGTACACAATACACTGTACTAAATGATCATAGCAGTTTAGTGTTGAATCAACCCAAAGATGCAAGCTTTGGGGACAAAAATGCATTATTTAACAACTGCTGGTAAAACTGGAAAACAGTATGTCAGAAACTAGGTATAGACCAAGATTTCACATCATATATCAAGATAAGATCAAAGTGGGCACATGATTTAGACATAAAAGGTGATACCATAAGCAAATTAGGAGAGCATGGCATAGTTTATTTGTCATATCTATGGACAAGGGAAGAATTTAGGACCAAATAAGGTACAGAGAGCACCACAAAACGTAAAATGGAAATCTTAATTATATAAAATTTAAAAGTTTTTGGAGAAACAAAACCAATGCAACTAAAATTAGAAGGAAAGCAAAAATTGGGGGGAAATTTTACAGCAGGCATCTCTGATAAAGGCCTCATTTCTCAAATATATAGAGAACTGAGTCAAATTTATGAGAACACAAATCATTCCCCAGTTGATAAATGGTCAAAGGATATAAAGTCAGTTTTCAGACAAAGAAATCAAAGCTACCTATAGTCATATGAAAAATGTTCTAAATCACTATTGATTAGAGAAATGCAAATCAAAACAACTCTGGGGTACTACCTTACACTTATCAGATTGGCTAACAAAAGAAAAAGGAAAATGATAAATGTTGGAGAAGATGCAGGAAAATTGGAACACTTACGTATTGTTGGTGGAGACGTGAACTTTCCATGTTTTTCTAAAATCAGCCAGCTCATCCTTTCTTATAGAACAGTAGTATTCCATCACTACTACAACTTGTTTAGTCACTCCCCAAATGAAGAGCATCTATCATTTTAGCCACTCTGATAGGTGTGACAAGTTGTGGTGGAGTTGTGAACTGATCCCCACCATTCTGCAGAACAATTTGGAACTATGCCCAAAGAGCTATAAAACTGTGGATACTCTTTGACTCAGCAATACTACTACTAAGTCATATTCCAAAGAGATTTTTAAAAATAGGAAAGAACCTATTTGTACAAAAATATTTATAACAGTTCTTTTTGTCATAGCTAAGAATTGGAAATTAAGGGGCTGCCCATCAATTGGGGAATGGCTGAACAATTTGTGATTTATGATTGTAATATAATATTACTATGCTATAAGAAATAATGAGCGAGACAATTTCAGAAAAACCTGGAAAAACTTACGTGATCTGATATTGAGTGAAGTGAGAAGAACCAGGGAAACTTTGTACACAGCAACAGCAATATTATGAGGATGAACAATTGTGAATGGCTTAGCTTTTCTCAGCAATACAATGATCCAAGACAAGCTCAAAGGACTCATGATGAAAAATGCTGTCCACCTCCAGAGAAAGAACTGATGTTGTCCGAATACAGACTAAAACATACTTTCTTTCTTTCTTTCTTTCTTTTCTCTCTCTCTCTCTTTCTTTCTTTTTCTTTCTTTCTTTCTTTCTTTCTTTCTTTCTTTCTTTCTTTCTTTCTTTCTTTCTTTCTTTCTTTCTGTCTGTCTTTTTCTTTCTTTCTTTCTTTCTTTCTTTCTTTCTTTCTTTCTTTCTTTCTTTCTTTCTTTCTTTCTTTCTTTCTTTCTTTCTTCTTCCTTCTTCTTCTTCCTTTCCTTTCCTTCCTTCCTTTCTTTCTTTCTTTCTTTCTTTCTTTCTTTCTTTCTTTCTTTCTTTCTTTCTTTCTTTCTTTCTTTCTGTATTTTTTCCACAAAATGACTAATGTGAAACTGTTTTACATGATTGAACATGTATAACCTACATTAGATTGCTTACCATTTCATAGAGGGGCTCAAGGAGGGAGAGAAGGATAGAATTTTGGACTCAAAACTTAAAAACAACAAGTGTTTAAAGTTGTTTTTGTATGTAACTGGGGAAAATAAAACATTCTTTAAAAATCTAATTTGGGGGCAGCTAGGTGGTGCAATGGATCGGTCACTGGCCTTGGAGACAGAAGGACCTGAATTCAAATCCGGATCTCAGACACATAACACTCTCTAGCTGTGTGACTCTGGGCAAGTCACTTAACTCCAATTGTCTCACCAAAAACAAAAAATCCAATTTGCTTTGTGAGTTTCTGATATATCTACATCAGTCTTTTCAGAAAATTCCAATTTTTACTCCTCAATGAATTTTTTCAACTTGTGTTTTCTCTGTTTCATTCTTTAGAATTTCCAACCCAACCTAAGCTGATTTTTCCTGTAGAAATTTTGCCTGTGGACTCCAATTACCCTTTCTTTGAATCCTTTTAAATCTACTTTTCCAAAATCTGTTATGCATTCTAATCTTCTCTCAGTTTTCCTTTCCTTCTCTGTCACAAACTCTTAGAGCTAATGATCATATTTCTCCAAGGTGACCAGAATTTCAATTCCAGTAAACAGTTTCTCTCTATTAGTGAAGAGTATACATAGAATAGGTTTTCCAGTTGCCGATTTCTCTACCTTTTAAAGGATGATTTTAAGGCAAAGAGAGGTTATCTTCTCTGCTTTTGGAAGAAAAAGAGCACCAGCACTAAGTCTGGCACCAATATGGTAAGCCACTGGGACAGGGCCACTAGTCTGGCTAAGGAAGAAAGAACGAGCCTATCTTTGAAATAGATTGAGTCAAAGGTTTTTTGATGATCAGCAGCAGGGTAGGCCCATGAGAGGCTTTTGTGCTTTTGCACTTGCAGCTTGAGCAAAGTATGGAGATGTAGAAGGGGAAAAAAGGAAAGAAAAGGAAAGGAGAGACAAGAGAGGAGAGGAGGAGAGAGGAAAGGAGGAGAAGAGAAGGGGAGAGAAAAAGAGAGGAGAGGAGAGAAAAGAAGAGGAGAGAAGGGTCATTGAAGTATCTTTTATTAAGGCACAGAAGAGAAAAAAAAAGATCAGAAAAAACACAAATAGAATATCTTTGCAAGTTATATGTTGGGGCAGCTAGGTGGTGCAGTGGATAGAGCGCTGGCCTTGGAGTCAGGAGTACATGAGTTCAAATCCAGTCTCAGACACCATGTCACTTACTAGCTGTGTGACCCTGGGCAAGTCACTTAACCCAGATAGCCTCACCAAAAAGCAAAAAAAAAAAAAAGGAAGTTATATGTTAACTATTATATTTAAAAGAAAAGCAAACTATGTAATAGAAATCTGTATGCAATGGAAGTTTCATTTAAAATAATTTGTTAAATTACTACTTGAATATTTAGAATATTACTTCACTGTGAGAAATGATAAATATGGAAAGTATAAGGGAAAATAGAAAGACTGAAACAAAAGGAATTAAGCAGAAGCAGAAAAACAAAATATACAACGATTCCAATAGTGAAAATTAAAAGAAAAATTAGAAAGTCAAAACTGAAAGCTATGTAATTATAATGATCAGATTTGGTCCCAAAGAAGAGATACGAAGAGACACCTCTTTCCATTTTTTTGTAGAGCAAGAGGATTAAAGGTGTATAAAACTGCATACAACATCATACTTTTTGAGGTGTGGGTAAGTTTTGCTAACATTAGTTTTCTTCTTTTTCATTATAAAGGATGGAGTGAGGTTGAAGGGAGCAATAAATATATCAGGATAGGTAGGTAATGTGAAAAAACAGAAATCATCAAAAATTTTATTTCTACAAAATGAAATATGAAAATGCACATCCTCCCTCTCCTTTCCTTGCAGCAGTGAGGGATTAAGGATTTGGAATAATGCGTATCATGTCAGACTCAATAATGATTATTTAAGTCAAACCAAACCACCAAGCATTTAATAGGAGCCTACTGTGTGCCAAGCGTTGGGGACACACAAAAAGCAACAACAGTCCCTGCCCTCAAGAAGCTTACAATCTAATTAATGGGGGAGACAACATGCAAGCTACTGTTTACAAACTAGATATATAAAGGATAATTTGGAAATTATCTCAGAGGTGTTACATTTTTAAAAAGCATGAGGATGCCATTTTGCCTTTATCCATCATCTAGCCAAGTTAAGTCTCAAAGGTCACCTGGTTTTTGAGAAATCACAAGATTACTCCCTCTCACCACTGTCACCCAACTTAAGGAATGCCACGAGACTATACCTCTCCCTCTCAGCTCTGTGTCTCCCAATCCCTTCTGCTAATAAGAAACTGGTGTCTTAATAAGGTTTGGGATTCGCTGTGCTACCAAGAGCCTGGGACCCAATTTTTTTTTTGCAATCACATGCCTTGCTAAATAAATTGTTTGTCTGGATGAAATTTGGTTTCTTTATTCCATTGTAACAAAGGGAAGGCAGTAATTAAGGGGGATGAGGAAAAGTTTTTTTGCAGAAGCTAGAATTTTAGCTCAGACTTGAAGAAAACAGGGAAGCCAGGAGGCAGAGAAGGTTGTTTGGAATAGTGGTGTCAAACTCAAATAGAAATGTATATCTGTCAACAGTACACTGATTTAGAAAACTACAAATTTACATTATGTGGTGTCTATGTCATTAGTTTTGTAAAACATTTTCCAATTACATTTTAATCTGGTTCTGAAGGCATGGAAAGGTTTTGCTAGCCTCATGCAACCTATGACCAGCAACTGACTCTTACTCATCCACACTTTTTTACAGGCTGAGGTACTCCTTTCTTTGGGGCTTTCTAGCTCCTCTCTCAGTCCTTCTCTGGAGGATTGGTTTCCCTTTCAAGCCAGGGTACAATACTGAGGGATATCTGTCTCAGTACTAGACCAGTCATATGCTTAGTCATTTTTGCTAACTCATTTGCCCAGAGAAAGTCAGGAAGTTGAAAAAAATAATTTAAGATGAATATTTTACAAACACCCCAAGTTCCCCATTTCTACCTCTTGATTTCAGGCTCATTACAGAAAGGATGTGATCTCATAGAAGAGGAAGAGAAGATGTAAGAGGCTAGCGTCTTTCCTGTTCTAGTGGGTTGAATAAGCACCAGACTATGGAAGTTCTCAACCTGATCCTTGGCTGTGGATCCCAAAAAAACAGCATGTCCTTTAGCAGGTGGAAGCAGTGTCTGCTAATACTCATGATCTCTTCTCAAGGTACTTTATATTCATTCTCCTCTATCTCTTTGCTGTGAGGTTCTAAGGTTAGAGGTAGAGAGAAGATGGGGGTGAAAACTCATCAGTGAGGGTAATGTCTGGTCCCTTCATAGGACTGTGTCAGCCTCAGCTGTCAAGAGTTGGAAGGTATGTGCTTATTTCATATGAGTCTAACTCTGCTTTCCAACAAAGGGCAGCCAAAAGAGAGATATGGGCAAACGGAGTCAAGGTGGGTGTCGGTGGGGTCACGGAAGGATGTTGACAAAGCCAGTGAAAGAACAGGAAGTCAGCCATGAAGTGTATGCTTAAGTCCCTCATATCTTCCCTTTCTCAGGCCAGCTCCTTTAGATGTATTCTGCAAAGGTCCAAGTCAGGAAAACTGCCTGGCTGGATGCTGTGAATTTATAGATCTAATCTTAGGATTCTATTCATCTTTACTCTCCCTTCCCAACTGCCTTTCAATCACACCACAATCTGTCCTCTAGCTCTGCTGATTTTTCTTGTACAGGATGTCAGATTTGCCATTTTTCTTCCTGTAATAGTACTTTGGGCTAGGCTTAAACTGACTACCTGGAGGTATAAAATGCTAAAGATCATGGGAGGTGTTAATTTAGGTCCCCTGTCAAGGCCAAAGGTCTGTTACACTTACTACTGTCACAGCCTTTAGGAATTATTCACCGTTCAGCTAGATTCATTCACTCTATTTATTCTAGCATCCTCTGTCTTTCATCAGCAACTTTGTATGGGTATGAATCATTTTCTTGAGCATTGGACATGCAGGCAAGGAGATCTAGATTCTTGAGAAAGTCATTTCTCCAGGTTTCTGTAAAATCAGTTTTGGACTACATAATTTCTAAATGACTTTCAGTTATAGCAGTCTGTGATTCTAGGAGTCTTGGCTCTGAAATAATTTAGCCTTTCTTACTATTAATTTTCTCTTCAGTAACATTGGGGGTAATTAAACCCATTTAGCCTACCTCATGGGTAGGATTCAATTTTAATGAATCAACACAAGTTTATTAAAAGTACCTGCTATGTACCAGGAACCATGTTAGGTGATGGGAATACAAAGGCAAAAATGATATAGTCTCTGACCTCAAGGAGTGTACAATCAACTGAGGTAAACAATAGTCATATATAAGTATATTTAAAAAGTACACAAAGTAAATATAGGATAATTTTGGGAATGGGAGGCACTAATGGCTGAGAAGAGGGGAGACAGTGGTCAAGAAAGGTCTTCTGTAGGAGGAAGCAGTTTCACTACGCTTTTAAGGAAATTAGAGATTTGAAGAAGATGAGATGAGAAGAGAATGCATTCCAAATGTAAAACAGCTCGACAACTGCATGGGAAGAAGAGATGGAATATTCCATGTAATGAACAATAGCTAAAAAGCTAATTCGACTGAAATATAGAGTGTGTGTAGGAGAGTTTTTGCTTTGTTTTAGCACAAATGTGTGTGTGTGTATATATATATATATATATATATATATATATATGTGTGTGTGTGTGTGTGTGTGTGTGTGTGTGTGTGTGTATAATTTATTTTAGACATTCTTTTTTAAAATTTTGAGCTTTAAATTCTCCATCTCCCTTCTACCTTTCTCCCACCCATTGAGAAAGCAAGCAATATTATATCAATTATCCATGTCAAATCATGGAAAATATATGTCCATATTAGCTATGTTGCAAAAAAGCAAGAAAAATAAAGAAAATGAGAGCATTATACTACAATTTGCACACAGAGTTCCACACTTCTCTCTCTGGAGGTGGATAGCATTTTTTTTTCATGAGTCCTTTGGAATAATTTTAGATTATTGTATTAATCAGAGTTAGGTTGGATTTTTAATCCTTTATTCCATCAATCAGAGAATCATAAAATTTTAAAAATGACACGGATCTTAGAGGACATCTAGTCAAAGACTTCTTTGCTATCCCTCACAGCTTAGGGTCATTTGTGATCTTTACAAATATCCCTTTTATATCTTCATCCAAGTTTCTGATAGAAGTGTTAAATAGATTGCTATACATAGGCCTGTAAGGTACATCAACATGGACTCTTTCGGGTTCACATTAAACCATCGATCAACAGTCTCTGAGTGTGACTATTCAGTCAGTTGGAAATCCATCTAACTTGATTGTTATTCAGTCTACATCATTTCAACTTATTCCAAGATAATCATTAAAAACTTATTTAAATATCTTGATGAAATCCAGTTATATTTTCATAATCTATAAGAATGATAATCATTAATTTAAAATTGTTATAAAATTGTTATAATTTGTTGGTGACTTTGTGCTAACTTCTAAGAATCACCTCTTTTTTGGGTAATATATCTTGGAATTTTGCTGAATATCAACATCAAGCTTATAAGTCTAAGTCCTGAAATATCTCTTTTTCTGTTATTTTTCTCGAATTTTCAGTCACTTCTAATATTTTCTATGACATCACAGAAATTTTTGTCAATGATTCTGTGATCAATTTTTCACTTCTTTCGGCACTGGTATATAGAATCTTACTCATATGTATCAGCAGAAATTTATTACAATCAGTGGGTATGTGCATGAAGAAGATATATATCTCTTGATAGACCAAGTAAAGTCTATAGGCATCTCCTTACCCTTTAGCCAAGAGTCACTAGTTACAAATGCAAGTGATCGCTTCGGATGGGAAGAACATAAAGATCATTATCCCCATTTTACAGATGAAGAAAGTATGGCTCAAGGACAGAAGGTGACTCATTGTCCCTTTATTTTAGTATATAAAAGTATTCTGAGACTCAAAATAAAGCCAGAACTTGGCATCAGTGTTTCTTAACCTATAGTAGAACTGCATTTTTTTTTTTTTAGCTTTGCCACTAAACTTCATTTAATCACTTCACTTAAACATTGAATTTTCTGGCAACTGGAGCCTATGACAAAGTTCACGTTTGCCACAATATCCATATACATGACCATAATCAGGGAGGCAAAACAACTGGGTTGTGGGTACAATAATGCATCAGTTGCTCCCAGTAACTCTAATGAGATCATCAACGTCTTTCCAGCTTTGAGTATCATGTAAAAGCAAGGAGAACCTACATCTTTGACCTTGTATTCCTAAACTGATCCTTATACTGTGACTAGAAGAGGTCCTTATGATGTGTTGAAAGGAGAGAGAGAATGAGATACAGGTGACATATCTTCAAGCATAGTTTTAAGGAATTACCTGGGTAATTTTAATAGCATGTATGTATTTCTATTCTTCTGGACTATGTATCTTTCCAAGAAAAGTTTTGTAAAGAAGGCTGTTTTGCAAGCCTTTTGACATCTGATGTACATCACCAAGGGGATGGGTGTTGATGATTCATATAAGGTCAGTCATAGCTATGTTCTAAACAACATCGTCTTAGCCATTCCCCATTCTCAGCTCTACCTGTGTTATAGTTCACAGGATCCTGGCAGTCAGTTTTGAATACTACCTAGGATACTAGCCAGGTTTCTGTGCTCAGGTCACTTTTAATTTCTATAAGCCTTAGTTTCCTTATCTCTAAAATGGGTATTAAAATACCTGTAGTTCTCATCTTGTAGATTTGTTTTGAGTTCTTAAGAGATAATATGTAGTACTTGGCAAACCTTAAAACATTATGCAAATGTCATCCATTATTATGCTTGATAGTATGAGAGAGCCCTGCAATCACATCTCCACCAAAATACTCCCTTGACTATGATTTTTATTGTCCTATCACTAACAAAGTTCTTGCTCTGACTCTGGTTGGCAGTTCACTCAGCAAGAAATGTGGTGGGTGCTATTGGTGAATCTATAAATCTCAAGAACCCTGAATTGTCTCATGAGCCCTATTCAGAAGTCTCTTGGTTTTACAATGAGACCCAGAAGATCTTGACATGGACCAAAGGGAAAAAAAATAAAGTATTCGAAACCAATTTGAAAACACGGATCCATCTTGGAGCTGATAATATCACTTTACATATCCAACAGCTTCAGAAGGAGGACAGTAGTACCTATAAACTCCAGACTTCCTTGCTGAAGACAGGAAAGGACTTCTCAGAGCACATCAGGCTGGATGTGTATGGTAAGTTAAGTAGAGATGAGGAAAGAATAAGAGGGAGGGTTGAGACTTCAGCTAGACTAAGAGGAAATACCAGATGAGTTTAGTCAAGTGAAAAGATTAAAGAAGGGACACTAAAGATAAGAGTAGAAACATGGAGAAAACTCAGGTCAGATTAAGTGAGATGTGCTTTGCATATTTTTGGGACAGCGAAGGCATCAGCTTTACTGGAATATGGGTTTTGGAGAATAGTGGGAAGGTTGGAGAGTGAGCCTTGAAGATAAGCAGGGGATTTGAGACTTGATACAATATGGAGCTATTATAGATAACTGAGCCCCAAAGTGGCATGACAAAAGATGTGTTTATAAAAGATTAGTGCCATACTGGGACATCAATAACAATAGGATAAATCTGGGAGGAGGGTGCAATCTAAGAAGTAAATTGGGATAGACAGGACAGAAGTAGACATTTCTATAATTCAAGAGTGACAGGATTTAAGTTCTAGAGGAATGTACAGGGATAGAAAGCTAATATAGATAGATTGATCAAGCCACATTAGTTCTAAGCAGACAAGATATACAAGGCAACAAGGTTTATAGGAAGGGACACATGTATGTATATATGTGTGTGTTTACATACACAAACACATACACACATACATGCATATATGGAATATTACAGAGACAGAACAAGATTTGGTCATGAGTAGTTGAAGATGACAAGGTAATGACCCCCAGGGATGAGAAAGATTATGGTGTCCTCAAAAGTTATCAGGAAATTCAAAAGAAGTTTGGGCCTGGGTGGGGAAGATAATGAGTTCTGTTTTGTTGAATTTGAGGCTATCACACAAGGATACTTTTGGCCAAGACAATCTGGCAATGGAGATCACTGGAGAATACGGAGATGGGACGCAAGAGATGCAAATTTAGACCCTTTTGCTATACTATCCCTCACTGACCAAACTGACAAAAATAGAGGTTGTAGAAGAGCAGATACTCACAGCAGAATGATGAACGCACACAATCTTTTTAGATATTAATCTGGGATTCCACTGTAAAAATGACAAGAGAAGTTGTACCTTTTGATTTAATAATTTCACTGTTTTTAGGGACATAAATCACAAGTGCTTGTGTGTGTGTGTGTAATCAAAAGCAACAACAGCACTTTTAAAATATTTACATATTGCATGTAATCATGAAAACCTGGAAACAACCTAAATGGCTACCTATTGGTGGGAAATGGTAGAATAAATGAAGGGATATTCATATAATAAAAAAACTATCAAATTATCAATGTCAAATATGAGATATATATTAAGAAATCTGGAAAGAACTTTATTCAGTGAACTGGGAGAATAGAGTATACACTATCATCAAATAAAGGAAAAAGTGAATGAGAATGAATGGATGAAGAGTCTTGATGAAGACTTAAAGGAACTGACAGAAAAAATGTCATGATAAACCAACCACAAAAAATAATTTCTTTGTAAATAGTTATCAAACAGGTTTAGTTGGTTATAATGATGTTCAGTGCTAAATTATTAATAAAATATTTTAAAAGAGAAAAAAATGGAGAGAAAAATCACCAAGTGAAACTGGGTCCATTAGAAATTAGAAAATCAGGTCAAGGGCAGAAGACAGATGAAGGTAGAGGCCTATGGATCAAGGCAAAGGCAGGCCCACCCAAGATGTGTGCTCTACTTTAAACAGAAATATGCACTGTTCCCACACATCCTGGGGGAATTGTCAGGGAACTCTTGGGGGGTTACTTTATAGTCTGACTCTTTCACAAATGCTGATTCTGCCCCTTAACATTTGTGTGACTTTGGGCAAATCACTTCACTTTTTGGGGCCTCAGTTTCCTATATGTCAAATGAGGAGATGAGTCTAGACCCTCTAAGATTCCTTCTCTAAGTCTATGATCCTATAAGTTACAAAGATTTATTCTAAAGAAGAACTTTCTAACAATTAGAGCTGTTCCAAATTGGAATGGACTGCTCTGTGAGGTCATGGGCTCTCTGCGTTTTAATGTGTTCAAATAGAGGCCAGATGGACAACTGCCAGAAATGTTGCAAAGGGATACTTTGAATTGGATGAGATGTTGGACTAGATAGCCTTCAGGTTCCTTTCATCTCTAACATACTGCAATTCCCTATGTATATAGTTAAGGATAATTGATTTCTCGTATGATGGGACATCTTAAGCATATAAGGAGGAAGTAGTATTCTTTACCTTGTCCTTAGAGCAGGGTGCCACTATCTGAATAACTGTCTTCCTCCTCCTCCCATCCTTTTCTGATCAACAGCAACACAGAACAGGTGAAGTAGTTTCCCAGAATGGTTGAAGGAAAAGATGACTCCCTTGGGCTGTGTCACTCTCTGTCCCACAAATGTAATGGCAGTCCCCAGCCTCTCACTGATGGGACCTGAGAACCCAGTACCTGTTACATGCCTCACACACTTCTGTTTGTCTAGAAGGAGGTGTTTCCTGCCTGAAAACTCTACCCCTTTGTAGCTCTGGATGTGCAGACTTGGGTAATGTTAGCAACTGGAACTGGATGGTAACTGTCCAGAGTCACCCATTTCCTCTCCTCTGTAGTACTCCAGGGCAGAACTCTGAAACCCGGAGTTCTGATACTTAAGGAAATCATTGACCATCTTGATGGGGGGGGGAGCACAATCAAAACATCTCATTGAATATTATATTTTACCCTTCATGCAGAGCGATTGACAGAGCCAAAAATTACATTGGGTCCTAGGATCAATGATAATGGTGCCTGTCTTGTCAATGTGACATGTTCTGTGGAACAAGTAAGAGAGAATGTAACATACAACTGGACTCCTGTGGGACAAGGGGCTAATGCATCCAGTGGAGGACCCATCCTCAACATCATTTGGAAACCTGGTGACCATGACCAGTACACCTGTACTGCCATGAACCCTGTCAGCAACAGCTCCCATACTGTTCTTGCCAGTGAGCTCTGTGCAGGTAAATTTCTGATTGTTTTTCCAGAAGCCTGAGATCATACATTCCTGCAGGGATTTGAATTATATATTATCTGTAATATATTATATGTAACATTATTAACATATTACATAATGTTATATATATTGCATATCATATATATCTAGGCACATATATTATATATTATTTGTTTATAATACATTAATATGTTATTAATATATTAATATAATATATAATAACATGTAATAATTATTGACCTTGGTACCAACCTGGTACCTATAGGAGCAGAGCCCTTGAGCTCTGTCACTGGCCAAGCCTCAGCCAAAGGAAATACTCCTGCTCTGAGATTGTAAGGAGAATAGTTGTTTCAGTGGTCAATTCCCTCTAGTTAAACTGATCAAGACAAAAAATACTTTTTTTTTGTGCATGGTTCAGATTGCTCCCAGTGACCTTGCTTCTTTGTACCTTCTCTTTTAAGACATTGAACATGGCATGAGCTATACCCAGTCTTCTTGTACCTCATGGTTTCTACCACTCTGATTATTCTCTTTATGTTGCGGCTATCAAAAATCATAAAAATCAAATGTCCTGATATGTCCTATCACCAGGGGTATAGAACTACAGGGAGCAGTCATTAGAGAATGCATCCCTAAGGATCATAGCCCTACAGCTAGGAGGACCTCAGGAACCATCTACTCCCACCCATTCATTTCACAGATGTGGAAAGTGGTGCCCAGGGAACTTAAGTGACTTAGATAAGGTCACATAGGTAGTGTCAAACTCTGGTGCTCTAACTTCCAAACCAATGCTTTTTTCACAGTATCCTATTAGAGCAATTTAATTGGCCCCAGTATAACTATAGATTCGAATGTTGAATGCTCAAAATATTGAAGTTGATCCAGTTCCAGAAAAAATTCTTGGGATTGTGGTTGGAAACATAAAGACAGCAACATTATCTTCAACAGGATCTTAGACTCAAGGTTAGACAGGTTAGCGTAGATCCCTTAGCTATCAGGGACATCACATTGGTGATGATTCCTACCTGAATGGAATCCTTCATTCACAGCAAGGGGGGAGGAGAAGAATCTCCTAACTCAGCAGCTATTTTCCCTCTCTTTCCTTTTACTTCAGGCCTCCCTAGTGCTCCTTTCAAAACCTTTGTCCTCAGAGGCATTCCCTTCTCTGTGTGTCCTTGCCAGTTTAGGACCCTCCCCCAGTTTCTCTAGTCCCAAAGCAGTAAGGTAATATGACGCCCTTTGGGGAAGAGCAGTTATAATCTTGGAAGCAGGGACAGTGTTGTTTTCACCTTCATATCCCACATTGCCTTGCATAGAACAGGCACTTAATGCTTGTTAAATTACTGAATACAGAAGCCCTGAGTTCAGATCCTAGCTTAGAATTCAATGTCTTGGACTGCTCCATCACATTTCTGAACACTGGAGTAGGAGGCCTAGTACTCTACCTTTATTATAACCAGGAACAAGTAATAGTTATAGCATCCTGCACCCCCCCCCCAGCCCTGGCTTTAAACACACACTGTTGCTATCCCTGAAACATGCATAGGAAGTTGACAGTATAAAACCTAGGAATAGATCAGTTTCTCCCTTAAGGACCAGAGGCTACCATGTCTCTTTGTACCAATACCCCTCATGTTTCCTTTTCTATTTGAGATACTCTCCCGAACATTGACCCTGGCATTCATCAGCTCTTAATGAGTTTATTATTTATTTAGGGAGCAAGACACACATACGAAACTTAATGACTGATTAAAATTCAATACTCCTGATCTTAGTCCCAATGTTCTTCCCAATATCTAGCATTTATTAGCAGTTTACAAATGTTATCTCATTTTACCTTCATGTGCCGTATTATTACCAAAAGGAGAAATAGAAAATATCAGTTATTAACAATAGCTAGTATTTACATAGCACTTTAAAGCTTGCAAAGTACTTTACAAATACCTCATTTTTTCCTCACAACCACTCTGGGAGGTAGATGATATTGTTTTTCCCATTTTACATATGAGGAAATTGAGACAGACAAATGACTTGCCCAGGGTCACACATCTAGTAGATGCCAGAGGCAGGATTTGAACTCAAGTCTCTGTCCACTGTACCATCTAGCTGCCATATTATTTTTGAAGTTTCAGTTTGATCATTTACTAGCCTTGAAGTAGAAGGGAAGGTCACTTCACCTCTCTTGTTCTCTTTCCTTAATCAGTGAAATGAAGAGGTATGTTCAGATGATCTCTCAGTATCATTTCAGGTTTGTCTCAACCTTTCCCTTATGGTCTGACATGGAAAATGGCCCAACTGGATTTTGTTTTATCCCAAAAAATCGGTATTGTACAGTGGAAAAAATGCTGAACTTGGAATCCAAGGACATGAGTTTGAATCCAAATACTGCCACTTACTGTCTGTGTTACTCCTGGAAAGTCATTTTATCCTGACAGGCATCAGTTTGCTCAACTGTAAAATAAGGGGCTGAACTAAGCCTCTAAGATCCATTCAAACTCTAAATCTAGGATTATATTACTTTCCTTTTATTCTGGAGGACACCCTTATTGAATCTTGAGACAGAAGGGAAAGAACTAGAAGAATGAAGGTGGGGTACTTGAGCTCTGGCCCCTTCTCTCCAAGAAGCCAACCTTGAACTCATAGTATCTGTTCCACAACTTGAGATATCAAGTTAGGAGAGGTGTCCTGAGCACAGTGGTGCTAAATTCAGGGAGGAAATCCAGATATTCCACCACTTTATTTTTATTCTACTTGATAACTCCACTATCTTGCCTCAAAGACTTTATGGACTTGGATTTTCTATTCTTTCTTTTTCCAGGCAAGACCTCGAGAGTGTCCCAGGAGTTGCTAGTAGTCATTCTGCCCTCCGTTTTCAGCCTCCTGTTCGCTCTGAAGTGGACTCAATAATGTGACTGCTTTGTTGGACTTCCAAGACAACATTCTACCTTCACATACCTGCACTGACCAGCATTAATTCCTACCCAGAGAAGTAGCAGGAGCAATGACGGGCAGGGATGAAGAAGAGTGAAAAGAGAGATTAGCCCTGCTCCTCATGTCTACCTATCATTCTCCTCATTAGATGGACATGGCAACCCCCTTCTTTTCTCCCAACTTCCCCACACTCAAGATTTCAGGAGATTAAGCATTTATATCATACCTACTATGTGCCAGGCACTGTGCTAAACATTTTATAGATATTATCTCATTTGACCTTCACAATAATCATGTGAGATAGGTGCTCTTATTATCCACATTTTACAGTTAGAGAAACTGAGAAGTTAAGTGATTTCTCAAAATCACACAGTAGAGACCTGTATTAGTTGCATATGGAGGTCTGTGGATCCATTTATGCATTTTTTGCACCTTCTGTTGCATGGAATGAAGACTATTATGTATGCAACATGAATAGTAAGCTTGAGTGCTAATATTAGACCCAAAGACCCATTTATGCACACTTGCAGAAACCTAGGAACAAGTTATATTATCAGATTTCCCAGAGAGAAATTTGGTTGGGTCTAACATGAAGCAAAGAGTGATTGCTTCAGTATGTTTCAAAGATTGGATCTAATCCAGAGCTTGGGATGCTAGACTCATAGGTAAGGATAAATATAAAGTGCAGTACTTAGATTTCTAAAAATAACCAATAGAAGAACTGGAAGGACAAAACATAACTAAATAGCAGGAAGTGTAAGAAAACATTTGAATATAAGCTCAGCCTTCAGAGCAAAGGAAGAAATAGCTCTGTTGCTGTACCATTGGGTACATATATGTTTATATTGAAATTACTTCATTGTCTATGATGCCTTTTATCAAGATGTAATTTCCTTCTTTGTCTCTTTTAATTAGAACTATTTTTGCTTTTGCTTTGTCTGAGATCATGACTGCTACCCCTGCTTTTTTTTTTTACTTCAGCTGAAGTATAGTAGATTCTGCTCCAGCCCCTTACCTTTATTCTGTGTGTGTCTCTCTGTTTCAAATATGTTTCTTGGAAACAACGTATTGTAGGATTCTGTTTCTAACCACTATGCTCTCCACTTCCCTTTTATGGGTGAGTTCATCCCATTTACATTCATGGTTATGATTACAGTGTATTTCCATCCTATTTCCTCCCTGTTTAACCTTTCTTTCTTCCTCCCTCTCTCCCCCCTCTCTCCTTTTACCCTGTTCCTCTTTGCCAGAGTTTTGTTTTTGACCACTGCTTACCTTAATCAGCACTCCCTTATATAAGTTCCCCTACAGTCTTTATCCCCCTCCCCTCCCCTACTGCCCTCTAGGGTAAAATAGATCAACTGAATGTGTATGTTATTCATTCTTTGAGTCAATTGTAATGAGAGTAAGTTCAAATGATGTCCACACACACACACACACACACACACACACACACACACACACACACACACACCCTTCCCTCCACCGTAATAGGTCTTTTGTACCTCTTCTAGTGAGATAATTTACCCCATTATACCTCTCCCTTCCCTCTTCTCCCAGTGAAATCTTCTTTCTTGTTCCTCAATTTTTTTAGATATCATTTTAGATATCATTCCATCAAAGTCAACTTAGACCCACACTTTCTGTTGATTACACACACACACACACACACACACACACACATATACATACACACATACACATATGTGAGCATATTATGGTCTTTCTCAGGGATGTGCTGGAAAGCAGCAGTTTCTCCAGTATCTAGAAATCCAACCCTTTTCATCCATTTCCCTTAATATATTCATATGATTCTTGGGCAATATCATTCCAATTTAAAGATACTTTAATGCTTAGTCAAATGCCTATTAGTGAATGATTGAGGCATGTTCTCATCTCAAATTATCAAGGCTAAAAAGTAGTGGAGTGGTTTCTGATACTTACACATTATTTCATTTAATCGATACAAGAACAGTATGAAGTAGATACCATTACAGATGAGGATCCTGGTTCTGAGTGAGGTTTGGTGATAAAGTCACACAGCTAATAAGTGTCTGAGAGAGTATTTGAATTTAGGTCTCCCTGATTCTAAGTTGTACACTCTAGTGCACTACCTTAGTGACTTAATCCAATTCATACCCAAAAATGAATACTTTCTACGACATAGTTAACAAGTGGTCATCTAGCCTTCACATGAAAGTCTCAAATGAGGAAAAACTCATTATAGTTTTGGATAGTTCTTGATGTCAGGCAATCTTTCCTTCTGGATTTGTTTCTTTTAACCCTTGTTCTAAGCTCTTCTCTTTGGAGACAAGAAGGACAAGTCTAACCCCTCAACTTGAAAGCCTTTCAAATACTTGAAATGTCAGATCTTCTCTTCTCTTTTTTTTTCTTTGTGTGAGGCAACTGGGGTTAAGTGACTTGCCCAGGGTCACACAGCTAGTAAGCATCAAGTGTCTGGTCTCATACTGGATTTGAACTCAGATCCTCCTGACTCCAGGGCTAGTGCTCTATCCACTGTGCCACCTAGCTGCTCCTGGCTCTTCTCTTCTCCAAGGCAAACTTCCTAATTCCTCAACCAATCATCATATGACTCAAGAATATTTACCATCTGGATTGCTCTCTGTTGGACATTCTCTCACTCATCAAAGTGCTTCTTAAACCAAGGTGTCCAGAACTGAGCACAATTCTCCAGATGAAATATAACTGTGACTCACTACAGTGGGACAATCTTCTTCCTTATTCTGAAAGTTATGACTCTCTTGAAGAGGGCCAAAGGTTGCATCCACTTTCTTGAGTTCTAGATTACACCATTGACTCATATTGAATTTGCAACCCACGCAAAGCCTCAGATATTATTCAGAAAAACTTCTCTCTGTCCATATCTCCCTCAGCCTGAAGTTATTAAGTTATATTTTTGAGCCTGTATTTAAGACTTTATTTATTCCCATTAAATGTCTTTATCTTAGATTTGGCCCAATGTTCTAGCCTGTCAATATCTTTTTGGATTATGACTCTATCATCTAGTGTGTTAGCTAGCCTTCTCAGCTTTATCTCATTTGAAAATCTGATAAATATTTCATCTATCCCTTTAACTAATTAATTTATAAAAATATTAACAGTGTGGGGCCAAGTATCACACACTTGGTGTGGGTATTCCCTACTATCCTTTACTGGCCCTCTTTACTTTCTACATTCTCTGAGTGATTCCATTGAATGTCATCTCTATTTAGATGATCACAAATCCATATATCCAGTTTTCATCTTTCTCCTGAAATCTAGTCATGCATTTATTGCCTACAGGAATCTCCATCTGGCTGTCCTGTTGTCATCCCAAGTTAAATATATACAAAATTAGAATGATTACTCTAAAATTCTAACTCTCCTCCAAGTGCCTCCATATGATCATCCTTCTAATTACCTAGGTTTGTAATATCAGAGTCATACTTGACTCTTCCTTCCCATTCCCATTTTCCAGCACCTTATGCAATCGATTTCCTACTGTTGTCAAGTATATCTTGGTGACATCTCTTATATATGTTTCCTTCAGTAAATAATGTAGCCAATACTGTAATTCAGGTCCTCATCAGTTCGTACAGAGGGACACAGGCATACTCACACACACACACACACACACACACACAGCCATAGCCAACACAAAACATATTAAAAATGTAGATAAATCTTAATGACTTACAGACACAAGTTAGTATACACATGTATAAATACACAAAATCAGGTGGTCAGGGTATTAGAAAGTATAGGAACAAAAAAACTATACTGGGAAAACTCTAAAAATCTTGGGGAAACAGGAACAAAAACAAAATTGTCACCTTTGTTTCACAACTATAACCTGTGATTCAGAAGCAAAATTCTAGTTTTACATGGACAGTGTTCAATTTGGAGAATACCATTAATGAATACCAATTCAAAATATTAAAATTAAGTCCTGTCAAACAGACCATAGCAATCTGTCAAAAATTGCCCATTATGATCATTACATTCATAGCAGAGATGCAAGAATGGTTCAACATTAGGGAAAAAAGTCTACATCATTAATCATATTAAAAACAAAAACATTCAAAATCACACGATTATCCCAATATATGTAGGAAAAACCTTTGACAAAGTACCACATTCATTTATAATAAAAAAAAATAAAATTATAATATATAAGCATGGAAGGGAATCTTAAAGCCAAATAGAAATCTATAGTTGGTACTGGAGGTAACAGGGAGTTTGTTAAATGAGGGAGGGGATGATATGGTCAGACTTGCATTTTAGGGAGATCAGTTATTGAGATCAGTATTGCAATGTTAGAGGAGAGAAGGGAGATTATACAAGAGATGTCATGAAGGTAGAAGTGATGAGACTTGAGCACTGATTGGATAAGAGAAACACGAGAAATTGAGAAGTTGAGGATGACACCTAAGTTGTGAGCCTGGTTGATGGCTGGGAGGATGGTGGTCCCCTAGACAATAATAAGAAAGTTAAAAAGATGGGTGAATTTTGGAGGAAAGACATGTTCAGTTTGGGCTTGTAGTGTTTCAGATAGCTACAGGTCATGCAGTTAAAGGTGTTTAAGAGGAGATGTGAGACTGGAAGTCAGCAGAGAGGTTAGGACTGTACAAGTAGAGCTGAGAGTCTACATGGAGATGATGCCTGAAACTACAGTAATTGATTAGATCACCAAGTAAAATAGTATAAAGAGAGAAAAGAAGAAGGCCCAGAACAAAGCACTGGAAAACCCCTGCCATTAGGGAATGTGACATGAATGAAGGTCCAGCAAAAGAGACACCAAAAAAGCAGTAAGAAAAACAGGAGGAAAAACAGTATGGAGCAGTGTCACAAAAACCTAAAGAGAAGAGAATATGAAGGAGAGGATGATCAGCAACAGTACCAAAGGTGGAGGGATTGGTTAAAGGAAGATGGAGAACAAGATTTAAAAAATAACACACAGGGTTTAAGAATCATGGGAATAGAGTGATTAGGATGAGGGTAGAAATAGGTTAATAATTGAGGATGAGTTCCAGTACATTTTTGTTGCTTAAAGAGTATTATCCTTGGGTAGAGTTATCCCAGAGCATCAAGCAGCTATGTGAGGCTGGAAAGGGGAGGGGATATAGTGTACATAGTGGCATGCCAAGGACAAGGCAGGTCCTGTGGAGCTGTGGTGGCTATAGGCATTGCCTGCCGGGGACTCAATGGAAGGACTCTGGCAAGGCAACAATAGGAGACAGAAAGATGTAAAGATAAACAAAGAGGAGATAAAACTCTCCTTATTTGCTGATGACAAATTGGCTTACTTAGAAAATCCTAGAGAAATCATTGAGGTGACAGTTAGCATCAGCAAAGTTTCAGCAGGCTACAAAATAAACCCGTAAAACAAAAGCATTAGCATATAATAACAAAAAAAATCCAAGAAACAAGAATAGAAAGGGAAATCCCATTTGAAATCACTACAAAATGTATTAGGTATTTGGCAATCAGTCCATCAAAGCACACTGATGATTCATATAGATTCAATTACAAAATGCTTCTTAAAGAAACAAAGAACAACTTCAGCAGTTGTCAGAATAGTCTATGATCATGGCTAGGACGTGCCAATATAATAAAAATGATAATACAGAGTTAATTCTCAGTCTTAATGCTATACCAGTGAAACTATCAAAGGGATACTTTGTAGAACCTGATTTAATAATAAAAAATCCACTGGGAAGAGCAAAGAATCCAAAGTTGAGGTTCTTAACCTGGCTCCATGGATAGATTTTAAGGGGTCAGTGAACTTGGATGGAGGGAAAATTACATCTTAATTTTCTCTAATTTACCTCTAATGAAAACTTAGCATTTTGTTG